TTTTTTTTTTTTTTTTTTTCCCTTTCCACTGTGGGAGCCATCTCTGATGGAGGAAAGGCAGATCTCTTTGTCATCAAGTCTTTGCCAGCTCCTATATATGTGGCAGAGTTAGGCCCACTTGAAAATTTAACGAATGTGCCAGAAAGAAAACCACCACAAAATATATATATATTTTTAGAGATGAGGAGTCTCACTATGTTGCTCCAGCTAGTCTTGAACTCTTGGCCTCAAGCAATCCTCCCACTTTGGACTCCCAAAGTGCTCCATGAGCCACTGTGCCTGGCCTATTTAGACATTTTAAGTAATTTTTTTATTATGTAATACATCCAAGTGGTTCAAGATTCAAAACATTCAAATTATAAATGCTGAAAAGACTATTCTATTACTGACACTCAGCCATTCATGTCCCCTCTTAACAGGCTGCTAATATCATCAATTTTGTGTGGATTACTAAAGGGATATACATATATATATATATATATTTCATACATGTAAGCAAATACGTTGTTTAAATATTTATCCCTTTTAAATGCAAATACAAGGGATAGTATTTGCATTTAATGCAAATATAGTATACTTTATTTATTTATTTTTTTGAGACAGAGCCTCAAGCTGTACCCCTGGGTAGAGTACTGTGGCATCATAGCTCATAGCAACCTCCAACTCTTGGGCTCAAGTGAGTCTCCTGCCTCAGCCTCTCAAGTAGCTGGGATCACAGGCGCCTGCCACAATGCCTGGCTATTTTTTGGTTGCAGCCGCCATTGTTGCTTGGCGGGCCAGGGCTGGATTCAAACCCGCCACCTTAGGTGTATGTGGCTGGCGCTTTAGCCACTTGAGCCACAGGCACCAAGCCCTGGCCCCCACTATTAGCCAAGCAAGCTAATGTGAAGCTCTCACTCTCAGAGTCATGTAAGTGCTAACCCTGCACTCACACATCCTCCATTCCCGGCTTGTCCTTCCCTCCTTCAGAGGAGGTCCCAGACCTCCTCAAAACCCTCAAAGAGCTTGATAAACACATCTCTCTCTTTATTTTTGTTTTGGAGACAGAGTCTCACTCTGTCCCCAGGCTAGACTGCTGTGGTGCAACCTCAAATGCCTAGGCTCAAGCAATCTTCTTTTTTTTTTTTTTTGAGACAGAGCCTCAAGCTGTTGCCCTGGGTAGTAGAGTGCTGTCGCATCACAGCTCACAGCAACCTCCAACTCCTGGGCCCAAGTGATTCTCTTGTCTCAGCCTTCCAATTAGCTGGGACTACAGGCGCCCACCACAACACCTGACCTTTTTTTT